GTATCGGTGGGGGGTTAGGGCATCGGTCCCTTTATCTTCAAGGTTGACATCAGATGGATTCCGCACTTAAACCTACAGAATCCCCTGCGGCCGCCCTCATTCTTGAAAGCAGACAAGTTCCTTGGATCATGCCAAAGCATGTTGTACTTACACGGGTATTTTAAATTCACTCAGTTGGAGCTCCTTCTGCAGCAACACTCGAAGCCTTAGCCCACTGGAACTCCAATCTTTAAGCTGAGCCCCAAGCAAAAGTTTGCGTGAGGCCATCTCCTCAGCTGGCAGACAAGCATCAAAAGAGCATGAACGGCAAGACTTATGATGACACCTATAAAGCCAACATTAATGGTAATGATGAATCATGGTCAACAATCTGAATTGCCCTCGTAATTGGGGATAAAGAGCAGTGCCACGACAATGGCCATGGATGCTTTGTCAGGTTAGGAACTCTGGATTGAGGGCAAGGACCCTGATCCCCAAACAATGGCTTAGCAGTGCCGCTCCTTCACGAGCACTGATGCTAGCCATCCTTTGACATCCTTCCGGTCGTCTTTAGTTTTGCATGCGGATCGCCCTCCAGAGCTGTTCCAGTCGGGAGCCATGGATCTACTGACTCCGGCTCGTTGGCCCAAAGCTCCTCCAGGTCACGTGCCAGCACTGCAAGCGGCTTTTCGTACAGCACACGGTTGTGGTTGTACATGTACACCATGTGCACCCAAGCATTGGCTACAGTCTCCAGAGATCAATCTGGGTATGTAGTATAATCAGAGGCGATGTTCAAAGAAGGTGCGATGCAGAGCAGTCAGGCACATGAATCGTAGGAGACAATTTGATCGAAGCCGGAAATTCAGGATATCCGCAGTGCTCACCGTTCAACGTGTATGCGGCTAGTTGACAGATGCGAAATATGCACACTAATGGGGTGGCTGCAGAGGTGAGGGTTTGACCGTGGAAGTCTTCAAGTTGGGACTCAGGGGGTTTAGGAGGATTGTTTGGGTTGTTTCTTGTCCAATGGGATCTACAAAACCATCTGGCTTCTAGCCCGCAGCTGCAGAGTCGCACTCTGCCCTCTGCCCTCATCAGTTATCCTGTCATCCCCACTTGGACCTACTTGGAGACCGATAGCCAGTAGCCGCATTACAACGAGGCCCACAGTACAATAGATTGCAAACAAGAACCTGGCACCCTCCAAGCGTGAACCCTGGACCTTGAATCTGGGGCAACCGCAACAACAACTCGTGCGACTCTGGCCTGAAATATACACCACATAGCACACGGATACAATACCGTGGACCGTCCATAGCTGATTGCAGAATTGCATGAGACCAACTTGCACTGCACAAGCTATTCAAAGAGCAACGCTCTTCCAAGACTTCCGACATGCACACCATGGCTATCCCAAACCCCAAAAAGGTCCTACAACACACCTCAATTTCCAGCAGCTGGCGCCAAGTGGCAAAGTGACGGAACTCAAAAGCAGGGCCGCAAGTGCAGCCTTGTGGTCTTCAGCAGAGATTTAGGCTGATTGGGGGTTTAAGGTCGCCTAGATTGTGGTCAGCATAATGGACAGAAATTGCTTCCTTTTGAATTCATGGAATGACAGCCTGGCAACCCATCAGGCAACGAATCTGTGAGCACGCTTCATTTCAAGAAATCCATACAATGACCACCATCCCTTGACAACGCTGTAATCATCTGCAGGGAGGAGTCAAATACCCTCACCAAAGACCTTCATAAAAAATAAATAAACGAAAACAATCCGAGAACCGCTTGAACCCTTCAACACAGTCCTGAGGTTCAGGCCAACCAGGCTGAGACTGCCTTCCGGGAAAGCTCCAAACCTGGCACGGCCAGCAACAGCCCCCTGCTTAGTAGGCAGGTTATGATACCCAAAAAATGTCTGTCTTCAAAGGGGTTTATAAGGGATATACAGGGTTGTATATGGTTATATAGGGTTACATGTGGTAGGGATATGTGGGTTTAGGGCGTTTAGGGTTTCCCAGAATTGATAACGCGCTTCTGCAGGGCCTGGTACACAGGATGCTGACCTATGTGTATGGCACGCCCCTCCCTTTCAGGACGGATATTATGTGAAGTCAATATATTGGGAACCGGCAGCAGTTTTACGCCGCATTCCCGCTTGCTTGAGCCCGGGCAATGAAGTGAAACCTGGGGATAGTCAGCAGCCTCGTAGTTTGCTTTACGGATTCCGGAACCTTTGGGGACAAGGAGCATCGAAGCGCTGACGTTTGAACAAATGTTGCAAGCTCTTCAGCAGGTGGACCAGCGTTCCGGGGCCTGTGAGCTCAAGTATGGCCTGCCCCTGTGGCCACAGCTGCAGTGCAGGCTTCTTGTCTGGAGCCCACTGCACCAGTAGCCATCCGTGCGCATCTGTTACAATCCCATAAAAAGGGGTGGCTGGCTTCATCATGTCGAAGCCGGCCAGTATTGCAGAGCACTGGGCCATGGCCGCCACAAACCGAGTGTTTCTGGCATCTTCCTGAAAGTTCGGATTCATACGGCGCTTTGCTTCGACAACAGCGACTGGACGCTCATTGCGGAAGAGTACATAGTCGGCTTTTCCAGCAAATGGCGATGTCCAGGGTAAAGCGTGCTCTGGCTTGATGCGGAGCTCCTGCTTCTGGCAGACACGAACCAAGATAATATCCAGCAGCATCCGCACTTGCGCCTCATTGCCCGCAAATGCACTAAGCAACCAGGTGTCTCGCGGCGCGGCGTTAGGGGAGAAAGCATGTAAACAGGCATCCAGCTGTTGAACGAGTTTCCCAGCCAGGTGCGCTTGCGATGAAAAGCAGCTCACGCGTTGGCTTGCGCAAGATAGCATTTGGGGCAACTGCTCCGCTGGAACTGGCCTGTGCAGTGAGGGAACTGCCCGATGGCCTGGCCAGGGTAAAATGCGGACGAGCTCTTTGGAAGCGAAGCGGACAGAGGAGCAAGGGTGCCTTTGGACAAGTCCCGCCAGAACATCCTGCCATCTGTAGCTCCGTGCAGCTTGAAGTATGCTTTCACTATTGCTGGCATCCGGGCATTCTGCTGAGCGAGGCCTTCGTTCTGCAGCTGGCACCTTTAAAGTTGGCGAGGCATGGTACCAACACCAAGCCTAAGAGCCAATACTGCCAAGTCGCAGCGTCCAGCCTGTCTCCAACCGTCTGCTTTACTTTCTTCGGCCTTGAGTCTAGCCGCTGTCGGGTTCATGAAAACCATCAAACTGGCCTCCTAACCCGAATCCTAGCATCTTCAATCATGCCAAGAGCAAACTAGCTGAGGGGAACACACTGCCTTGGACCGTGCTGACATCTCTTGCGTTGGCTGGGACGAAGCCTAAGCTGACGAAAAGCAGTGCAAGTGTGCCAAAACAGTAAGCTGGCAAATGCACAAGCATGACAAAAGCCACAGGTACTTCGCGCATTGCCTGCATCGAGTTTATCATTTGACCACGGCACTGGCGGCGGAAAATTTGTTCGACGTCCTTCGGCCAGAGATGCAGCATCAAATGCCTTTGCAGCCTCGAGCTCTGTTTCAAACATGCCGAGATGTCTCCCCCGAGCAGCTGCAATGAATTTCCCATGCTGGCTGGAATAGCAAACGCCAAGAAATCGCGATGTCTTCCCTGCAGGAATTTGTTCATCCTGCCATGCTTGCTCAGAAAAGAAATCCCAAAGCTGCGGAAAGTTAAGCAGTTGCAGCTTACGAGACCGGGGTATTGAACTGCTTCGAAGAGCGGAGTCCACTTCGTGTGCAGCTTCCATTTCCGTGTTGAAGCAGCCCACATAAAGCGGCGAGTGGCCAGGCAGTAGTGTAATCTGCGCGTTCCACTTGTTTCTGAATCTCGACACACCCACATATGATGATGATTTTGGCTTTGACTCCAAGCGCCGCTGGGCTTGGCGAAGCTCGTGCTGTGAGGGCAGCTTGTTCGGAAAATTTCTGGAAGCATCCGGCCCTCGCAAAACAACTGCAGCAGCATCGTAGACTGAAGCGGCGGATAGCTCGTTCTTGTACGACCCAAGATGTTTCTTCCGCCTTGAGGCTTGGTCAAGGATGGAAGCGATCCACTTGCCCCGACGGCGGTGCCAATGAACTCCTGTGAATCTAGTCTGGCGAGTGGACACGCCTCTAGAACCTGAGGAACATGCAAAAGTGCCTTGACATAGCAAGGATACACGCTTCGCCTGCTGGCAAGCTTGTCCCCACATCACCACTTGAGCAAGGCTTGCGACGAAGCGTTGCAAATGTTGAACTCTCTAAGCAACCAACGCCGCATGGACTGTCAGAAACTTCAAACATAACGTAGCTGCATCATGGTCGGGCTCCTCCTGTTCGCAGTTGTTATAGCTTGAGGCATTAATCTCTCCAATTCCGCTCCATAGTGCATGGCTGGCTACAAAGTATGGTTTTGTGAGGTGGGGAGCCGTTTAGCCAAAACCCTGCACTCCAAGTGCAGGTTTGCTGATCACATAGTTGATCACCTGGCTTCTTCATGCAGATGCATACTTCAGTGCTGCTCGTTTTGCAGAATGGCTGCAAGTCTGAAGGGCACCAGGCGCAGCTCTTGATGGCCCAGCTCTCCACTTATCCTTATCCGTTTTCTCCAACCCATGTGGGTGGTTGTCAAAATTATGCTCCCCTTCCGGATCCCTATCATAATACGGCACCTAATATTTAGGGCACCCAAAAAGGGACCAGAATTTTAACAACCACCCTTGTGGATGTCCTTATCACGGAACCTAGAGAAACTATGAGTCCAAGCGCGCACGGCGCGGCCAGGTGCCAGATCTGACGGTGTACTGCGGACCTCCAGGAACAGGAGATGAGAGTTTGCTCGAAGTGCCGATGGCTTGGTGACTTGAAGTTGTGAGGTACCATGTGAGCCGTGAGCCATTGTCTAAACGCCTAGTATCCCCCCCCTGTTTTTTGAATCACGGACTGTCTATCCCCCTTAATAACCCCTGTAATACTCCCCTATTTCACCAACTTGCACCTTCAGAAACACCTTCCAATCTCAGTAAGCCAGACTGGCTCAACTCCGCGCAAAACACTATATACCCTATATAACCTCTATATCTCCCTATAACTCCACTTTAGTGATACCCCGAATTTTGGGAAATCCCCAGAATCCCCTATATAATCCCAGTCTTAGTGCCATACCCAACCCCAGGGCTCCCAGCTACCTGCAGAGCAGGCTACTGGGCTATGTAAGTATAGGGTATACAGAACCCAGAACCCACTATTTATGTAACTGGAGCATTCGGGCAACTTAAGGCAACACCTGTCAGGTTCACCTTATACCCTACTTGCACCTGAGGCTTCAAGGCGACCTACACTTTGCTGCAGGAGGGCTAGGATGCGGCAATCATGCTTGCGCAATTGTGGCGAGCGTTGAACATATCAGAATCCTGCAGCCCACCAAAAGTCTTAAGCTGGGGGCGGGGCAAAGGCCTTCAGTAACGGGGCCGACGCCTGAGGCGTCTCACCGCGATCAGGCCGTGGAAATGTGAACTGCTGGCTGCTGGCTGTTGCTTGCCAGCTAGTAGGGTATTATCTGCTCTGCTCAGGACTTACCAGACTTGGCAGTCATCTGCATGGGACTTCCTGAGGAGGCTGCGCGTGAGCTTTGCATGCTCCGGCACCTGGCATGTGAAGAAGCACGAGTCGAAGCAATGTCAACGAGACCTCCCAGGTACCATGGTAGTGGCCTGAAACCCAAACTACTGGGTATGAGGCCGGTATTCTGGGTACTTGCGACGTTCAGGAGTACACAATCCAGTCCAAAGTGGTGAGGACTGCGCAGCTAGCTCCTTCACCACCCTGCTTCGATGTAGAGTTCTTGTTATTGTTGCTGTATATAATGTAATGCGAAATCATCTGCACCTCTGTAACCATGAGTCAAACTTTCACTCAACCCATCCCACCGTCTGCTCAAGCTCGACGATCACCACTGGGCAGCCTGAGCTTTGGAGAGCTTCGAACCATCCAGCTTGGTCACGGCTGGAGAGACGGTACCCTTCGGCCCAACGAAGGCTTGGACTTTCAAGCGCAAGGCGACATCTAGAGATTCAAGAGTGCAGGCCCAGCATGGGCCGGGCATACACATCTATCACATTCAGCATGCAAATTGAAATTCTGTCTTTGGCTAAGGTCTCAGAATGACGGAAAGGAACATGTATCCGAGACCTACGAGTAGCTGGAGATGGGACGTGCCGGACCCTGTCTCCCACGGATACAACTACAGTGCACTATCTAAAGCGAGCTCCGTCTGGAAAGAGGCAGTCAAAATCCTGTCAACTCCAGTCAGGGTTGCCAGTAACGTAAGCTGTGCGCCAGGCCGTGGTAGAAATGCCACGTCTCATCGGTCTGCAACCTTCATGTACAGCTCGACTAGGGATTTGCTACATGCCCATATACGCCCATACACGCTGAGTCTTCGTGACGTGGGCGAGTCTGCAATTGTGAAGCATCAACAATCCCACTTGGTTTCCGCTTACCAGGATGCACAAACAAAACATGCATGATCCTTGAGCTGTACTTGTTGCAGCACGACATCATGAATTGGGATCTCGAATCCTCGGGCTAAGGGTGACCCACTGAACAAAACACGCATGCGATGCACCCTTACACACACGGCCTGTGCATCTTTGAAACGTCGTCGCCTGAAAGTACAGAGGCCAGTAAAGGGTTTTCATCAGGAATAGGCACCTACCTCCTGTCTGACAGCAGCTGCTGTATATTGGAGGGTCCCTTAACTACAAACCCAGACAAGCTTTCCGGGCTCCCAATATTGAATTTTGGGGCCCCCTTCTATGGAAACCCGCAAGACACTATAACATATCATACTAAAACATATACTATACTATAGTGTCATATAGTATACTATAATAAGCTACAATAAAATATATATTAATGTATTATATGCTGAGGCCCCTGCGCGACATGAGGTAGAGGATGGCGCTGAGCCCTCGGCCGGCGCCCGCAGGACCCTGCCAGAAGGGGCAGAAGCATCTTTCCCCAAGTGGCATGGGGTTTAGTTGTACTTGTAATCTTAAACTGTTCCCAATATTTCCCAATACAGCCATTACGAAAAATGAGTTCCCGTACATTTTTCCTCAGAGACCTTCAGGATCACGAAAAATTGTCCCGAAGGACCTTTAGATCAACAAGCAGATGCGGCGTCTCAAAGGCAGAAGAGGAGCACGATGAAAGGTAAAGAGCGCGCAAGGGTCTGTCAGATAGGATCCTGCTGGGATTAGGGTAAGACTGGGTTGCTGTTAAGGA